AAGTGGAAGATGGTTACCTAGAAACTACCAGGTAAAAACTTCTTGACAGTGCTTTGGTAGGAAGGCTAGTCTAGGCTACTGCTTTCCACCCCCTGCCCCTTCAACCAGTTGTGGTTATGCTGTTCTGTAATGCTGTACATTTGAGTAGTTATGGTCTTCAGTGCTATTGCAATACATGAAATCGGTTGTCTGAACTGCATTGCAGATAGAACCTTGACAATCCATTAATGTTGGACCACAGAGAAGGCTGTCTGTGTTAACACTACTGTCTGTAGTGTTAAGTAATGCTTGAGGAAGATCAAATGACTATTACTTTTGTGAACTAACTGACCATGTTCACATTTCATTTCATGTCCACGGCCTTTAAAAGTTGAGTCAAGGCTTTAGAAAATGCTTAGTGGTGTCTTTTGGCAGTGCTGATACAGGAACAAGGGGAACAGTTTATTCTCAGATTAAACTTTCAGTGACCTGCTGTACAACAATCTTCCAGTAGAACAGTAATAAAAAACCCCCCTCCCCAGCTTCCTGTGCAGCTCTGCTGATCAACTTGAGTTCTCAAATGTCCAAGCCTGCTGCTTGTCTTGAGCTGGCAGATAGTTTGTATGGCTTATGAGAAAGAATCTTTATCGCTTTAATGCATTAGTTGGATTTGCTGTTGGATGATAGAAGGCAATAGTTTCTGCTCATGGAAATCAGCAATTTCTTTGCCCAGATGGGCAGCTTCACTCCAAGGATCTAGCCCAAAGTAGCTGTGGTTTCTAATACCGGTCTTGAGATGCTGCAAGATACAGCTCCTTCACAAGCAGCAGCTGTATGTTTTTTGTGATGCAATTGCTGAGAAGCTTTACAATAATAATTTTTACCTTTTCCTGGTCCTTTTTTATCTGAATGCACATATTTCTCTCTTCTCAGTCTGCTTTTGAGCATTGACTGAGAAGCCTAACTCTCTTCAAACTGAACGCAGCATACAATTCTAGTATCCATGAGCGATTAGACTGACAGTTCTAATGACAGTACTGCTTTCCTTTGAGGAAAGGAATGGCCATGTCTGAAATATCTAGGAACCCCATTAGTGCAATTAAACAAAACAAAACAAAAAAACCACTGACTTCTTTTGTACTGCTTGTTGGTAGTGACTGAAAATGTTAGTTGTTTAGTAACTCTATAGCACCACGCTCTCAGAATTTGATTCTTTATCTTTCAGCCTACCCTGCCAAGATATCAAAAAAGATGAGGCAGGTGAAACTATAGTGTGTTACAGAATCACAGAATAGTTTAGGTTGGAAGGGACCTCTGGAGATCATCTAGTCCAACCCCCCTGCTCAAGCAGGGTCAACCTAGAGCATGTTGCCCAGGATCACATCCAGACGGGTTTTGAATATCTCCAGGGAAGGAGACTCCACTACCTCTCTGGGCAACCTGTTCCAGTGCTCAGTCACCCTCACAGTGAAGAAGTTTTTTCTCAGGTTCAGGTGGAACTTCCTGTGGTTCAGTTTCTGCCCCTTGCCTCTTGTCCTGTCACTTGGCACCACTGAGAAGAGATTGGCCTCATCCTCTTGACACTCCCCCTTGTGTTCATAAGGCAGTGTTCATCTGCCTTAGGTTGTGTTGAGGCAACTGTAGCATCATGTTTCTGGGGTGTGCAGTATTGTTTCATGTGATGGATGGCCTGAACTTGCAAATTTAGTTTTCTTATTAGCACTTCATAAAATGGCCCACCTCAGGTATGTGAAAAAGAGAAGGTATTCAGTTCTCTTGTTCTATTGAACCATTTATAACATGGTTGTTGGTAACATTGCTTCAGAATTTTTGTGACAGGAGTAAACTTCCTGGAAAAAATGCTGAATTTCCAATCTTGGGTTTGGGGGGGGGGAGGGGGAGTAGGTGGTGTGTGTGCAGTAATGTAATGGGTTTTCTGGACTGCTTTGGAGCCTTTGATACATGGCCTCATAGAAAATTAAGTGGGAAAGCTGTGATTCTGTATTTGAATACAGGCTAAAGGAGTGTTACAGGTATGCACCAAAAAAAAAAAGAAAAACCCACAACGTGGGAAGGAGGTAGAATACAGAAGTTCTGAGATTTAGTTTTGAGACTGATCTTGCCTCATATTCTAATTACTACCACAGGTAACCTAAGCTTATCTCATGAATGTGCTATGATTTGTAGTTATTGGATGACTTCCCAAGACTGAAGCAATAAAAAAATGAGATCAACTTTAATATGAATTGTAAGGATTACAAATATGTATGGGGTATGTCAAATGTGAAAGAGCTGTAATTGTCAACTGAACGTGGACAGACTTTAACCCTGACAGTAGAAGTGCAGTTCTATGATGTGTCACCAGAGGGGGTCTAAATAAAACCTGAAGTATGAACTGCATTGCACAGGCATCACTATTAGTAAGATGAAAAAATATGTGAAATTCTCTGGAGAACACCACAGAGTCAAAGCAGGAAACTATAAAGCCCATCTTAACAGCATAAACAAACTCCTGCTTAGTTAAGGAACAGCTGAAGGACTCTGTAGCATAAGTATGCCTAGAAAAGGGGAGGCCCTATTAAAGCAACAAGATTATTTACTGCATAAAAATGGGTATAAACATGATAAAAGTTATGATGAAAATTAAATTACTACTCACCAGGGAGATGAAGAGCTGGAAAAGACTCCCATGAGGAAATACTGAGATTCCTATGTAATAAAAGAGATTATGTAACAGTTGCCTGGGATGGTGCTAGATTTCAGGCAATGAGGCAAAGACCTTTTCTTGTATTTGCCTCTGATATTTGTCTAAAATTCCTAGACTCAAAAATCCTAAATTCAGGTCTACCTCTGTAGAGGAACTTTCAGGTCTGAGGCCTAAATATGTACTTAGCTTTTCACTGTATCATACCACCCCTGTCTTACTCATCCTATTCTAACAGTTTCATGGATCAGGCTGAGTTTCTCACTTACAACCTTGTATTTGCATTCCAAATATAAGAAAGATGTATCAGTCATTGCGTACTGTGTTCTACCTAAACACCCTAAAGGAGGTCATGCTTTACCTTTGCATTAATGCCTCTGACATCTTAAGTTTTACTTTAATAGAGTGGTAAAATTACAAAATATGTTTCAAATTACAGGCATTGAATAACAAATGCCATGGTTATGGCTTAAAAGGGTAGACAGTGAACATCTTGGTGTTTGAGGGAATTAATTATAAAAAATAAAAATCCAACCAAAACTGATATAGTAACTGCAAAAACTTCATTTTATTCATCTGTACAACAGAGGTGAGACAATCCCAGTAACTCTACTCAGGTGCACTTAATACACTAATTTCTGTAACAAAAGTAAGGAACTGCATTTCTGTGGAACAATTATTTCAAAACTGCAATTTTCTCAAAAACAGTGAAATTAAAGGAAAAAAAATCCAGCAAAGTATTTACTTCAAATGACACCCCCCCCCCCCCAAAACACCTTAATTTTATTAAAAAACAAGGTAGTCATGCAGTCCCAGTCTCACATGAGCTGCTGGTGCTAGTAGATAAACCAGGTTTTGCTGGGCTTTGCTGTGCCTCAAACAGAAAGGTTTTATTACTCTATACAAAAAAGGGAAAAATCATCCACACAGCAATTTTAAAGGTTCACAAAAGTGCAAGTCTTGAATAAACTGTTGCTTAACAAAAAATTAAAAAAAAAAAAAAACAGTGCCAGAGCTGTATTTATTTCCTCTGATGCACTGCATCCTGGATCCCTGCCAGCCATGCATACCCAGTTCCCTTCCTGACCTTCCACAGCTATCACCACCTCCCTCTTCTGCACTGGGTGATGGACAAGTGCCAGCAGTAACCAGGAGTCTCAACACACCACCACTCTTCACCTGAGCAGCATCTACAAAGGGAAATGGAGTAGGACTGAACAATTACTGATCTAGAGGAGATTCAGATCTGTATTTTTCAGCGTCATTCACTCTAATTTTCTTTACACCAGTGAAAATTAGGCGTCCACCTACGAGTCAGTAGGTTTACCCTAGTGTAAATGCAAGGGTAGTAAGGCAGCAGCAGTCTTGCATATAGCTGTACAGCAACAGTACAGCTGTTTTTACCAGTGTACTTCAGACTTAATCCAAAAGTCCTTGGCAGCTACTGTTGCCTTCGGTAGGCTTTTGACCAGGCCTCTGCACATGTATGCACCCTGCAAAAATGCAGGGAACTGCATTCTTTTAAAATGCTGTCCTACAGCTTTTCTGTTTCCCTGGGTCACTATCAATGTTTAACCAAATGCTAAAATACTGGATACAGCTTCCTTATAATACTAACAGTGAAGTGATGGCTACATGCAACCTATAGCTATTTTTAGCAGGACACTCCATATTTATGACAGCTGTAATTACTTCTTCCCTTTTGACTTTATCCCTTTACTTTGTCCCTTTTGACAACAGGACATGCCATATAAAAGCTAAGGATTGCATAGTGTGTTTTCCTATCAAGCCCATTCAGAGAAAGACATTCTTTTGTGAATGGTATCTCCAATCTGCCCAAGATTCCCACAGCTAGTTTCACTCTATACAGTGTTTGGGAAAGTCTCTGCAGATCACTGAGCTGATGACTGAAGTTTTAAAAACAGGTGTTCATTATCATCTTCTATACAGTTAGCAAACCCTGTCCCTATACTAGTTTAAAAATGAACTTAATTGTCTGAGATGCAAAATTTGTTAAATGTAACATCAAACTTAAAATAAATGCAATTTAATACAAAAGAGTAAGAAAAAAACTCTTGCGTTTTACTTGCAAAAATCTGTGCTTGCTCTTAAAACAGGCCTCTAAATTACTTAGCATATCATACTCATTACAAAATACATTGGATTTATGGGAATGTGTGAGCAATAATTCAACCTAATTAAAATTTTAATTAGGTGTGTAATCAATTCTGCTAGTGATTTGGCATCTCACACAAGTCTGTGCATCTTTAAATGACACAGTGTGTGTGTTTCTTTAAATTTGATTACAAGCACTGGGACAAAAAAAAACCCTATTTCTACAAAGTGCTGAGTTCCTCCTCCTCTTACCAAAGCCAACGTAAAAATCAGGAATGCTTAAGAGATTCTCAGCATTCTGCAAGATCAGACCCACAGAGAGCTTTACAGACAGTGATCATCTTTGTAGAAGGAACTCTTTGCGTAAGTAAGTTAAAACAGCTGTGACTGATAGGTTGGGTTTCCTCCACTGCCTTCCCTGAAGTCTCTTTAAATGATGGCATCATGTTCATCACTGTAAAAGAAACACAGTAATTACTGTTCTGCAGTAAAAGCAACAGTCAACATAAGAAGGACAGCCACCCAGTTGCTGCTAAGGTTATTTCATGAATAAAGGCTCTGTTGCTGTAAGTGCTAAGTACACACAGCAGAGAGTTGCAGCCCTCTCTGAGTCAAGCCTGAAGAACAAACAAGGTAACTTTGTCAATATTCCTTAAGCCTCACCTTCCTATCGTATTTAAACAGATACATTTAGATCAGCTGTTCCTCAGGCATTTTTATCCTATCTTTTCTTGCCTGTATCCAGTAGTATCAGCTAATCAAAGCCAGCTGACAAGCTCAGCTACTAGTTCTGTTGTTAAAAAGATACTGCTGATCTGACCTCTACAATATCCATTCAAGCACTACTGTTAGTAAAGTTATGTGGCAAGGACTTGCTGAATCCCATGACTAGCAAATGGGAGTTCAAAGATGGAGAAAAAAACAGAAGGCCTGAACACTTAACTAGTCCCAGCAAGTCCAATGACATCATCTCAGTTAAAACAAGTGTCTTCCAACTGAGATGGATGATACTGCAAAAGGAGAAAGAAAAGCAACCTAGTGTTAAGAATTCCCAGTTCTTAAACTATACCTGGGACAAGGAGGCAAGCCTGGAAGAAAGCAGAGTACAGCTGCCTATGAAGGACAAAAGCGATCATTTGGCAAGGAAATAGTAAGATAATAGGCTAAACAGTAATTATTATTTCCTTGATCACTTGGAGTTGTTGCTTTCAGTACAAAGGAAGTGGTATACACAAAGAAGCTAACACGTCCGACTGGTGCTGTGCCATCAGAAGCTAATGCTTCAGGAGAGAAAGAGACCAGTAATATTAGTAGGTAGCTCCAAAAGGAAGAACCATACCCAAGACAGAACCCCTACGAATAATCTCATATCATAATGGAGAGAGATCAGTTGTCTGAAAGAAGTTGGTGAACGTACCCTTAATTTTAGTCTACATGGGAAAACACTTAACAAATACATTTAAACCAGTGGTTTTCAACTTGTAGGCTACAGACCATCTGAAGCTCACAGACAACTTCTAAGGGGTTTTGAAAAGATCACTAAGAAAAGCAAACCTACCCTCAATAACCTTTCATATGCTTTACAGGGAGCTACACTCCACAGGAAAAATATTAACAGTCTGCAGCTCAAAGAAGGTTGAAAGTCAGAGGGTTAGTCTGAATAAAAAAGCGACCTGAGGTGAGATCCAGCTCATAGCTTTAGATACCCACACCACAGACTTCTGTATCTAAGACTTTTAGCTGCCTTCACAGTCAGTGAAGACAAACATGCACGGGCAGACTGATTCATCTAGCATATTTTAGGCCCCACTTTAGGGTGATATAAACGATATGAAATGACTAGTTTAGATGCCGATATCTATATTCAATTAAATGAATTCTAGTTTCATGGACGTGTGAAAAGTACTAAAAGCAGATTCAGTACACACAATTTCATGGCCAGGTTTCTGGGAGTTGAGACCAAGTTAACAGGAAAAAATCAAATATTAAAAATCAATCAATCAATTGCATTGCAAGGTGGGACAGAAGTTTCAGTTCATATATTGACCATCATCAAATACTGTGCTTTAAAAATGCCAATTTGAATGTTTTCTGTGATAATAAATAAATCAATCAGTTGAATGAATGAATCAGGCTTAAGAAAGTGGAATACTGAATGGCTGGCTTCAAAACTGGCTGTTTAAACTAGGCTCTGAGGTATGTAAAAGGTGGTATGAAAGAGAGAGAGAGAGAGAGAGAGAGAAAAGAAGGTCCAGTACGATGTCATTTAAGTAACAGAATACAGAGCTATTGTAGAAAATTAATGGCAAGGGGGAAATGCCAGAGAGTAAATAGCTAAGTGGAGTCCAGGAAGGAGTGCCAGCAAGAACTAGAAGTCTTGCAAACGTAGCAAATAATTCACAAAAATTGTTGTAACCAATTAGCACATGAAGGGCACAGATGCAGGCAGAAGTATTTATAGCGCTAGTAAATAATAAGGATGAAAGTATGCACGCATGCATATGAAAGAAAGCCTTCTGGCATCAGGCTCCATGGAAGCAAATACCCAGCCATGAAGAAATCTAGTGTATATTGCAGAACAAGTCAGGATGGAAGAGATACCCCAGCTGTGGATCAGCAATTCTTTAGTCAAGTATGCTGTAGAGAAGAAGGCATCCACATCTATGCGATACCAGACTAAAGCTTAACTTTACAATAACCTTGCATGAGGGGTGGTGGTATGGAAGAGGGGAGTCTTGCAACGGAACAGGGGGTGGGGAGGAGAACTGAACAAGCCAGGGAAATAAATAAAGAAAACAAACAAAACCGCAGTGTATTAATTTGGAATAGCTAAAGGACTGGAGTGTAAGAAATGATTTTATATAATAAATCAGAGGATAAGCCCACACACAATAGAGGCGTATGAATAATGAGGAATAGCTGAAGGGGTAAAAAACACAGTATCACAATAAAACCTCTCTTGTGAAAAAAATTAAAAAACTTTTTTTTTTTGTTTAGTTTGTTCTCCCTGTTTTGTTCGTCCTTGTTCTCCTCAAGAAAGTAATAAATTGACAGGAGAACATCTGTCTAAAACTTACATGGTTCTGTACTGAATGCCTCTTCTAGAGTGATATGTTTTGCATCCAATGTAGAGAATAACTAGGATTCCAAGTGTCAGCACAATGCCACCTACAAAACTACCCACATCAAATCCGGAGGTTTTGGCTATGACAGTCTCAGATTTCGGTGCAGCTGGAAAGAAGAAAACAAAAAATAGTTTTTACACAGCTTGCAAATTTGGTTTCAAGGGACTCCTTTATATCATGCCCTCCCCATCAACACATTACCTAAAGACTCAACCTAACAAATTTACATACATCAACTGCCAAGATACCAGCTAAGAAAACCGAAACCAAAGCCAAGTTGCTATGTGCCAGATTTGGTGATCACTGCACACACTGTGAACAAAGACACGGAAACAAAGAATCCTTCCACACTTCTTCTGTGGAGCATCTGCTAAAAATTCAATTGGCGGTCAACTCCTTTTATCTAACTAGTAATAAATCTGGCAAGAGACACAAAGAATAGTATAGTAAGAGCTTGCACCACCCAGAAAGCTGAGGTGACCTACTATAATGGAACTGTAAGACCATGTTTATCACAACTGAAGCCTTATTCCTAAGGTTGGATTCTTGTTCAGCATGTTATTCTTACCATTAATTTTCTTTAGGAGCTGGTTGACAACTATGTGATTCCTGTAGCCTACAAGCATCAATCCATAAGATGGTGATTTTATGAGCAATTGATCCAGCTGCTCGCTGTCTCTGCAAGACCAAGATCGTCACTTCTCCTCTACACCTCCCTCTTTCTCTTCCCCCGTTTCCATTTACTTTCTACTCCTTCTACTCAGGCAGCTCCGGCCCTTCCTGTGCCAGTGCTAGTGTTTTTCAGACCTTCCATGAGCCAATTTAACTCATCAATCTGGCCTGAAACTAACCAAGCAAAACAAGAAGTTGCTTTTGGTCAGATCAGCACACTGAATCAGCTCACAGAGGGGTCCAACAACCACCTAGTCAGTCAGTATAGTGCAAATGGAAGGAGTAAAACATTTTTAGTGGTGATGGATTGTTTTACCTTGTCTTATGGAATTGCACCCTCACTCTCCAGGTAAGAACAGCTAGACTGAGATCAGCTCTTCAGCCCCATACAAACTTGGACTTTCCCCAAAGATCAGATGTTGCCATATGTATCATGACTCTAGATAAGCCTCCACCTATAGCCCAGATAGATTCCATCTTAAAACCGTTTCACTCTGCTACAAATTCCCCAAAGACATAGTTTGTGCCTGTCTTATTTGTGCTTACCACAAGGCGAGTTATGTGGCTAACTAAATGTTCTGCTGATGAGAGTTCGACCTATCTAGTAAGACTTCACTTCAACGTGAGCAATTTAATCTTTTTCGATGTGGAGGTATGAAGCGGTCTGAACAAGAAGAAACCAGCAAGAAGATACTAATGTTTACAATTATAACTGTATTTGACAACTTTCACATGAAGCATGACCCATCCCTCCTCTAGGAAGGATTCATTATAATCATAATATTGCTACAAATTTGGCTAACAGAGTCCCTCTACTAAGACAGAAGTAGTACTTGTAGTTTGAGCCACAAGTCTTCTATTTAGTCTCTGTCAATGAAAAAGGAGGTATTAAGGATGAGTTCAAGTGAGCTGTGGAAGGGAGAAGTGAAGAAATTAACAGAAGTTGCATTTATTAGCCTAGCACAAAGTCTCAACAGGCTTTCTCCTAACATCACTAATCTCCTTGCTGGTACCTGCTGGTTCAGATCACTTCACATTTTTATTTCTAAATACACCAGGTCAGTTAATTTAAGTGAAGCCTTATTAAGTACATGGAGCATTGAGAGGAACATTTAATTGGCTACATCAGTAAATAAAACTTAGTCTCATGTTTAAGCACGCAAATACCTTCTTTCTTTGCTACACTGCTGTAAAACAAACAATTCTAAAATTGTGCAACATTCATGTTGACATGTATTTAAGTCTTTATGAGCTTCCTGAGATGTGAACACACCTGTTACAGAAGCAGAAGAAAGTTTGGAAGCGGTCATCATACTGTTGAGTTGTGAGGATGTGACTGTTGAAACTGTGGTTGATACCGTTGTCTCGCTGGTTTTGATGGACTGAGGAGCAGTGGTGACAGATGTAGTGGTGTTGGCGGGCTGAGTGGTGTTGGCGGGCTGAGTGGTTGTTAGGAGGGTACCTGTAAAATTTGTATGGCAAAGTGACATCACATAGAAAAATATAATATATAATTATACAAAAAATAAAAAAAAAAAGAATAAAAGTAATAAGACATAAGACATAATTCATTTGAATTGACTCGTAGAATACGACAGTTTTTCATAAAACAGCAACTTCTTAGTAATGCAGATCAAAAGATAGTAGTAAACTAGTCTCGTGTTTTTTTCCCCCTGTAGAACTGAAATTTCCAAGTATTCTCCTGGAATGGCACATTACATTTATCATATGAATGAGAGAGTAGCAATGAATTTGTCATTACATGGATATCCAGGCTTGCATACAGATTCCTCCCTGTGCACTTCCTTTGGAAAGGCCTCACTTCTGATTTCTAAGGCTCAAGGTCAGGAATGATTCTAAGGAAAGGCTGTAAAGAAAAATCGCGTAATATCTCATAACTTTTACAAGCCGTCAAGTTTTTTGGATAACGTTACCCAGTTCCACAGAATTACTCTTAATTTAAAATATGTTAAAATGAGATAAAACTCTGATCAAGAACGTACCACAAAACACCCAACTTTTCAGATTTTGTATGTAAACTTCCTCTTCCCCCAACAAAATTCCAGTAATGATTTCATCTTGAATTTATTTTTGAATGAAACACTGACTTTACTTAGGCTGCATATGTATTAAACTTATCAGACAGACTTCTGTGATCAAACTCTGTCCCACTGGAACAGAACAGCGGCTAAAACTGAGCACATTGTTTCATATAAATGTTTAAAAAAAAAGGTCTGTGAACAACAAATTCTGCTCTGAGATCTGAGCTTACGAGAGTGCTTTAGCACACAGAGAAGTTAAGTAGATACTTAACACGATCCCGAAGAAAACAAATAGCTTTCTGTGAGTGTCTGGAAGATAGTATTTTGTTGAGATTCGTATTTACAAAATAGTTTATTTATTATTTGTCTTTCTGTATGCACTTATGGAGACACAGAAGAAGAACACTCTCAGTGACTGGACGTTAAACTTAAGGTTCAAAAGGCTTTCCACATATGGTGGAAGCTCAGCTAAAGTAAAGCTGCTAGCTTTTATCATTTGTTTAGTAGTGGACTATCTTGCCAAGATTAAAACAAAGAACGCAACGCTGTTTCAAAATTTTGGTGGACATCTAATGTGTTTAACTCTTATTCTGCTTTTACCTAACATTCCTCCTTCTCTTCTCACTTAAAGAAATAATGAACTGTTCAGAATAAGAATACCGTAAGATAAAATCCAAGAGAACTAATAGAGAAGAGTGATATCTAGAACAAAATGCATAAAATGTGAACAGAAGGCAACCAGCTAGAATGATCTTAAGAATAACTAAATGTTCTTCCAAGAAGGAACTAATGCGAAACATAAGCATGTTATATAACTAAAATTTCTCTAAGCAGACAACATGAGTCAAACAGCTTTTACATATGGAGGAAATTTAGTGGGGGAAAGCTCATTTTGCAGCTATCTACTTCTGCATTATTTCTATAACCTCACAGAACATGGATTAATTTTTAGATACCATGAAGGCTTTTCATTTGTGGATTATATTTTTATTTCCCATTATTCAAATGTCTGATTATAGCCATGTTTTCTTGAAATTGTGTAAAACTGGAACAAATAAAGAAAAATTAGTTTCATCAGTAAATCTGACATACAATTTCTGCTTTTTTTGAACAGTAGCTAAAATGCTTCTATAGAATGATCCTCCTAAAAGTAGGGTTTAAAATGTGAGAAGACATTCATGGAATGATATCTCTGCTAAGATTTAAGAATCACTGTTCCCAGTACAGATGTGAACAGTAAAAAACATAAATAACAATAAGACAATGTAAGATGTCAGAAAGGAACTGGTAGAAACCACAGTTTTCTGACACTTACCATTAGAACTACTGAAAAAAGCCACTAGAGTCCCCCTAGTAAGCATTATTTATCTCCCTGCTCTTTAATGTTATCACTGTATTTTGACAACCCTAGGAAATACTTTGAAAGAAACATTCATTGGGATGGAACAGTTGGAGTGCTACACTCATATGCTTACCTTGTTACAATTAGGAAATTCAGTTCCTCTACGAAGCATGTGTAAAATACATCACATAAAATTCAGGGCACATTTTAATAATGACAGTTAAGCTCCCCAAAGGCACAATTATCTACACATATCAAATAACTCGTCATTGTAGGAAACAGGTAAGATATGGATGTCTATACGCAAACCATCTACAGTTATATGAGATGAAATCACACAGCAGTGGTAACTACATTTCCAATATAAAAGACACCAACAGGAAAAACAAAAGACAAATCTGAATCAAGTGTCAACTATTCATAGGTTTTTTAGAAGCCATGATTTCTAAATGTCAAACTGGCTCATGTTTCTAAGCAATATAATGGCTAACGGTTCCAGGTGCAATGTTAATGAGTGATATTACCACAAAGTGGTACTTCACGGGCATTAAAACGCTATACGAAAACTGAGTTGGCACAAAAAATTTCCAAGCTGCTATCATAAAGGGTTTCAGCAGATTTGCACACTCCTCTTTTCCTCTCTTTCATACTGCTGACCCTTTTTTCCTATGTTATCAAGGTTACAGCACTTGGTGATGTAACATTTATATTAAAAGTAAAGGCTGGTTACTTTTCTACAGATTTATCTTTTGCAACGTGTTTAGCACCAGTTGTTTCGAAACATCAGAGGGAGGCTTTAAGAGGCATCTGGGGAATTAGGGAAGCTCACGTGAGTTCAGCACCAATCTGTTCTTCTGCGTCTTTGAAAAATCTTACCCATAGTATTCCTATGGGTATTTCATAGTCGAGATGAAAGAATATTTGGTAGCAACATCTGCCCTTTTATCTTTTACTTCTCTAATTACTTTCCCCCTAGCTGGCCTTCATCGAACATCGTGCTGAACAAACCCAGACTGCCTGAGTTAATCTTTACTATTTAAAAAGGACACATGCCAATAACATAATTCAGATTTATGATGCTTCATTTTTTAAAAGTTATTTTACTTTCCTGTGTTTAAAGATTAAATAGCTATGCTATATCCTATCAATTCAACTATATGTATACACTGTAAAGACGATAGCAATTATTAGAGCCACGCAATATTCCCTTACATTCTAACTCCTCAACAAAGAGCACAACTAACAACTCAAACTGCATACACAATTATAACGTGCATAATGTATGTTAACATACAAAATAATCATTGGATGCTCTTCCTAAAATACATAAATCTTCTCCTTTTGATGGAAAAGCATTTTCCTACAAAATAGCACAGTTTTACTTTTGCCATGAAAAAACTTCCAAAAAGAAAAGAAAAAGCAAAGACCAAAATTAAGTACATAAATCCAGTAGTCTTTATTTTGAAGAGGGTCAAGACATGATCAAAACAGTTGTCTTGAAACCTGTAAAGTTTATAATTAAAAAAAAAAAAAAAAGAAAGCTGGGAAGCTAACTGTGTGAGCTAAGGCATATAGCTTTCTGTTACGTTGGTACAATGCCTAATTGTAAAGGGCGCAGGCATATTTTTACCACTATTATCTCGCAAGAGTAAAGCTCAGACCCCTGCAATAACTTTAAGAGTCACAAGCTATTTGAAGGGAGGACTACGCTGGTGTTTAACAATGGCTTTAAACATGGAGAAGGGCCTAAGGCAACAAGCAGAGTACAAAAATCTCACCTCTCTGCTCTACCAGTTAGACATGCCTAAACTGGTATCGGGCACACAATGGAATAATAAACTAAACTGTTTCCTTGCTTTCCAGAGGTCTTTGTTAAGATTTGTTTTTTTGGTTTGTTTTTATAGCCAACATTTTATTCTTAAATGAATTAGAAGTAAAACATAATAGTTCAGAAGCTATCTGGAGACTACAAAGAGACAAAGTGAGAGGTGAGCTGAAAACATAATCACATAGGTGACACCTTACGATCAGCATAAAACTCCACAAACATGCAAAGTACCGTTGGGTAGGCGTAATATTTTTGCTGTCTTTTTATATGGCTCCTAGCACAAAGGGGACCCAATTCATGCACGGAACTAGCTTTTCTTCTCTTCCTCTCTTAGATATAACCATTTATCTGTGCATCAGACTGGACAACTGCATGACATTAATTCTTATCTAGTCTTTACTAATGTGGTAAAATATGCCTCTGCAAGATCTTTCAGAAAATCATTTTCTCAATTTCCTTTTTTAATAATCTCACACTGGCACAGCCAAAGGCTGGAGCACTGCAAATGCAAGTGGAAGACCTGTTTGCGTCAGATTAAAAATCTGCTTTCAAACTCTGTTAGTTGAGCTAATAAAGCTACTACTTCTTCCTACAAAGATGTGTTTTGCAAACACGTTACTTATGCTGGAGCATCACAACTGCAACAGCGCTGCCTTAGGAAATCATTCATACTCAGTTCTTCTGCACAGGTATGAATGAAAGATGATAGCGTCAGAACAACGCAAAAATACTACTGACAGATTGCCCCAGCTCTGCTGCTAATGTCTTGCTTGAACTCCAACATTTTGTGCTAAGAGCTGTATAAAGATAGCTATATTCTGTGGTATAAGGTGCCATGAGTCTCACCTAAAAGAAAATGGAGTCTTACCCTTGAAACTGGAGCATTCATGCCTTCATTATACCCTAAATCTATTTACTGTGAAATAGCATGATACAGATATGTTCTATTTACACAACAACCTATTCAATGTTACTCCAGGAAAATGTAAGAAATTTTCTTAAAAGACCAAGAACGAATATTAAAAGACCCACTTCTTTCAATTCTTCCTTGAAGTTTTATTTTCCGATTCCTGACTTTTTATGGCACTGTAAATGGCATGGCTTCCACCCATTAAGCATGCTACCTAAACTTGAAAAACAGTACAATTTGATTCTTGAGTTATTTTACACGTTGCCTTCCAGTCTCCTAAAATTGTAATGCTTCTCTCAAATACCCATTTTTGATTTCTTTAGAATTTTCTATGATTTAGGATAGTTTTGGAACCAGCTTCTAGGTTCATAGTAGTAGACAGATGAACAGATACGTACCTGCTGCAGATGTTGCTGTAGATTGTGTGGTTGAGGCAATAGAGAGATTGGATGAACAATTAGCCCCTTCAAGGACAAAAAGAAAACATGGAAAGAATTATTCATTGTCATTTTTAAGATACTATAATTGAAGCACAACATCCTCCTCGGGATATCTATGCGTGCAGGCCACAAGTGAGAATGGAGCAGAGAGTATGCTGGCCCAAAGCAGATGGCTTTATCCCTCTGTAAAATGTTTCCAGATTTCAATGCAGCAGGAACATGGTTACAGTGCATGCACAGTGCTATCCAAATGGTCTGCACCTGAACTTTTCACATCTCTTTCTGTTTGCTCTCTTCAACTTTCAGTTGCTGTACCAGCCACATTCTCACTGACCTTCCTGACCTGCTTATGCACTGTGGATTTCTTCCAGTTTTTATTTCTCTATTTCAGTTTCGTTTCCTGCCCCTCAAATCATTTTTTCCATTTGCTGCATCTCTGTTACAGACTGGGCTCACACTAGGAATAAATATATCACAGTCATTTGAAGTAGGGATGGACTGTAGCCCCTTCCTGTGGGCTTATGCTGTCTCTACACAAAAACGCTCTATGAATGCACCTATCTCAAAAGACATTTTTAATATAAACTAGGTTTCAGTCAACTGCTTCCGTCTCTTTTCTTTCATTTCTACTTTTGCAGTTCTGTTTTTCCCTCCCTTCTCATGTTACTCCTCGGTTCTCAGGCAACTCCCCGCCCTCACTTCTGCCCTCATCACTGTACCACTCTTCAACATTTCTTACACCTTAATGGTCTCTTCCTCTTCGCATAGATCCACTGGCCTGTTCTGTAACTCCCATTCTTGACAGTGCCACAGCTCAAACTCCCCTCTCTCCAGTTCTGGGCTGTTGCCTATGTCCATTCTACAATTATTATTTTCTCTGAAGTCACTGGTCTCTCATGGCATCCCCACACATTGCCAGTGCTATGTACCTACCTAGCAGAAGCAGCTCTACAGCTTTTTATCATGGCTGGGAAGCAAAGTGCACAACCTCTGAGATGAGAGGAATAGCAACATCATCACCACAATCATGAAGCAGGCATACTTCCTTTGACTAGATCTACTGTTTTTAACACTAAAAAAGTTTGTTTTAAAAAACTTTTGTCAATCCTCTTTGAAATTGCATGCATGCCATCAGCAAGCTCACGTTTAACAACAAATGCAACAAACTCACACTTTTGCACCACCTACCAAGCGAGGGGGGGAAAAAAAAAAGAAGAATGCAGAGAATGATTTAATTGCTTTTTCTTTGGCATACTCAGAGCCAACTAGCCCCACCACTGAGTACTGCACACAACCATTATCCTGAGACACCTGGGAGATTAAACTGCCTTTGAGAAACAGTCTATAATTGCACAACAAAAGCCAAATTCTTTTCTTAGCTACACTGACTTTTACACCAGCATAAGCCATGGATACGCCTGGGGCTCAACCTTTCCCACACTGGCCCAATACTGTCAACAGAATACATCTCCGGGTTTTCCCGAAGTTCTGAATGCTGATTGCTGTGACTTTGGGAATGCATCTGCATGAAGACTGCATGCTCATACAGGAGAAGAGAAGCCACGTGGACTGCCAGGAATTCAGGTGCGAGTCAGGGATGCAATTAGCACAGATATACAGTGAGTCAGTGAGCAGAGTACTGGATGTGCATCCCACTTGCTCGTCAACAGTAAATGAGAGGAGTGAAGGAATATGGAGAAAAAATGACTCAAGAATATGCTCTTTGCATGGATAGCTTAAACACCACACATTGCTTAAGGCTGTGAAGTTTAAGGCTTAAGTTAAAATTTTCTCTTACGCTATGAAATAAACCTGTACTGTAGCAACAAATACAGATATTGTGGACCTGGAATCCATTTTCACATTACAAATCAACTGAACAAGTGCCTCAACAACACTGAAACCAACAGTCTAGCAGACTTCTTGAGCTGGCGTTCCTCTTTTTAATTTTAAATTCAGGCTGGCAGCTATTTCTGGTCCTAAGCGTACAATTTCCCCACTTAATTTCTTCTCTCCCTTTGGCAAAGCAGTAACATCCTGTTGCTCAGTTTCCTAAGGGTAGTGAAGATCAAGTTGCGTTCCACGGTTCATCAGTTCCTCTTGAATAAGTTTAACTGGCTTGGAATAGGCACGAGGATCAGAGTGTCTCCTTCCTGCACAACCGGTGCTCACAAATCAATAGGGTAAACTACTACAAGGATAGTTTAAGGTATGTAAAAATACATATTGCTTTTCTAGATGCTAATGAGGAATAGCAACAGAAGTGCCAAGCGTATTACCTTGCACGCTACTGTTTTGCTCCACAGGAAAGAGGTCAGAACTTCTGGAGTTGTTTGTAGTGTTTGCATTTTCAGAACCCTGTCCAACTGGAAAAACAAGGAGAATTGGATGTTTTTAGGTATTTTATTACTATGAAGGGAAAAAAAAATGTTAGTACACCATCTGCCACTTCCCCTGAGCATCTAAATGAGTAAACTACTGTGGACAAGAGCTAGATGTAACAACAACATAACAGCACGGTGCTACAACAGTCTGCTCTTAGCCCGTTGAAAATGACAGTAACTGTTCCACTATGCAACCATTAAACAAACAGGAACTCCTTCCCATCCTCAGCTTTATCTTCCTCATAATTAGTATCCCAAGTTCTCTCCTTTCCAGAGCTGATAGGAGACCTGGTCAACAAAGGAGTCAGAAGGACAGAGTCATGGCACCTTCCTTAAGTAATAACATAGGATCAGCATCACCTACAGCAGAGGGAAAAGAACTTCTCATGCAAATCTTCCCCTAAACCATGTCTGTAAGGCCTCTACAGGCAGATGAGAGCTTGTTCTGCTGCTACACGGACAGCACGGCAAGATAATAAACTCCACTAAGAAGCTGGATCCCTTGGTTTGGGACTGACAGCGCATTAACACATCCACTGAGCGCCTGGCAGGTTAAGTGAACTCAGATAAAGAACGATCTTATCTGCCAGTGAAATACCATCATACCCTTAAGACTACTTCTGGCAAGGCCTGGCTAGTCTCTTCTCAGGCCTGGTTTATATAGAAGTGGTAAAATTTAAAGATAAACCACACGGAATGAGAACTCCGGCATTCACACACATGCAAGGAGATCCGTCGTGAATTTTGCCTCTGCCAACCACAGTCTAGTTTTGTCACTTACAACAATATCCCATCACAGGCAAGCAAATAACATGAAATAAGTAGTGCAGAAATAAGGCTTTTTCTTAGGGGTTATGAAACCTTTCTTAAGAAAGATGTCAGAATAACAAGGTTTACAAACTCATGTCTGATCTCTCTAGTACCAAGATTGAGCGCAGTGTTGGAAGATGTATTATACTACTTAATTAGAGAATTTAGGGAAAAAAAAGACAAGAACTTCTACACTGGTTGCATTAAAAAAAAAAAAAAAGGAGCATAGTTAAACTACGCTTCCCAAGGAAGGGCCAAGCCCTGCCAAAACAGATCTTCATCAGAGCCCCGTTGTCCCCTCCTCCTTGCCAGGTGTTCCTGTCTTTTCTTTGCAGGACTGGAGCTGGTCTGCTCAGTGATTTGATTCAGGATGATGAGCAAACAGAAAACTAATGCTATCAAAAAAATCCTCAAATCAATATAGTATTTTTTATTAGCTCGACCAGCTGGAAACAGGCTCCATGCAGAATTGGATGAAGGTAAGAGAGGGGGAACCAGAGGTGGAAGGGAAGGCAGGACTGCATTAGCCCTAGGTTCAGATCAGCAAGGATAGCTAATCAACCGTACCTTGAAAGAGAGCATGAACCCGCTCTAGCTTAAAAGATACAACATACAAATACATCTTAAAATGGGGTACTGCATAAGCATATGACACAGAGAACACATGGCACTGAACGTGACAGGTGAGAAAAATCTTAAAATGACACCATCTGCAAACTATTCTATATCACCCAAAAATGGCTTTGGAATCCAAGATGTGTGTATCACTCCAGGAACAGCAGCAGACTTTAGCCCAGGAGACAGGACTGCATTCTGCGGACTGCGTTCTGCATTAAGTCAAAGGGAAACGAATCATGCCCTTTTCTGTAGCAATGGCTCTAAACAACTGAAGCTGTCGCTGAACCCAACAGATCACATGGTACCACCAGTCCACAGCAAAACTGCGAGGCTTTTGGCCTTTACCAGAGAAGGGAAGTGCGAGGATTTGATGTCCTGACTGACCCAAGTGAGCCCCATGAGCATGGTATAGTTTTTGAAGGAGTTGGGGAAGAAAGCTGGCAGACAACTGCAACGTGGAGGGCTCTGAGCACAAACAGAGAGAAAGTTATTTGAGGCCCAGAATTAGCCACAAAGCTGGGCCTTGAAATCTTGAGTAAAGACACTCTGTGGTGTTGCTTGCTCCCATCATGATCCAGAGGGAAAAAAAAAGTCTCAGTGTTCACTTTTCACAGTGAAACAGAACTGAACCAAGGAAATCTCCAAGTTAAAACAAAGTACCAAATCCCCACTGGAAAAGGACAGGGAGAGGGGATAAACGACATTTTTGCCGGACAGCTTGATGTTTTCCTTCTTTAATGCCAGGTGCGGACGCAGCTAAAAAGAGAACTGCTTGTGGTCGGCCAGGCTGTATTTGAAGGTCGGTGTGCTTCCTGCAGAACGGGTTAGTGCTTGTCACAACGAATGCTTGCGTGACGCATCTGTGGGTTTGTTGTACTAGTGCATAAACGGTCATGAGCTTGAGACAACGTAATTTGAAATCAATGCTAATTTGGATAAGCAAACTTTTAGAAGGGCAAAATCAGTCCAATTCTTCCAGCTTTATATGAAGAGTGTACAAACCATTCCTAGAAATCATTTCAGAAGTGGCATTCAGATGTAGGAAGTGAAGATCTGTGCCTGTGTTAAACACAGAGATGAAAGGTAAATGAGATAGAGATAGCTCTGATAACTTGTTGAAAATGAACAGGACAAAATCTTGAACTGACTTGATTTTACCAGCTCCTGTAAGAATCAACACACTGGGTAACACCCATAAACCTTCAGAGTTAGAAATACGTGCTCTCCAGCTCATGCATGTACCAAACTGTTGTCCTCTGGATGAGGATAGGGAGAAGAGCCACACACTAATAAGTTAGTTGCACTACTCATTGAATTCCTAGCATGTGACAAAACTCAGTTTGCCCACTGCTGCATTCACCATTAAAATAAACACATTTGTAAGGATTTCTGGCAGGTTTTATGTCTAGTCTAACTAAACATAGTGCTACGGAGAGGTGTGGGTACATAAAATAACATTTTTCCAACACACAATTTTGTACATTCATTTGGGTAACATTTCAAAAGTCACATATTAAATTCTATCTGGTAATCTTCTCTTAAGTTTGACGCCCAGGAGGTAAGTAGATGTGTTTCGTCCCAAAGTCATTCCGCTTCTGTTGGTTTAAAAAAAAAAAAAAAAAAGAAAAGAAAAAAAAGGTACAGTGACCCTGACAGCACACAGTGCATCAGAGAGATCTCCGATTTGCACAGTAACCTCCATGAAATTCAAATGAATAAAGGATGGGGCTGAAATAGTTAAACCAGGGAATTTAAAGTAGCCACATGAATGTGACCATCCCACAGATAGTCTCCACTCAAGTACTTGCTCTTCCCGGGAGGTATGGATGAAACTCAAATTCTGGAGATTAAAACAAAAGCAACCCCTGACCCCAGATCTATTATAATATTAGCTAGATGATTTTTACGAACTGCAAATCCAAGACCCTGCCCAAAAATCTTAACTGGAGTGAGGACAAATCTACTGCCACTCTCACTTTTTGCAGTTCATAGTATTTGATGCATTTCACGCTTTCTCCTGTAGTGTTAATTAATGAACCACTCTAACTCATGCTGAAACCAATATAAAGCTCAGCAGTGGTTTATGGAAGTGGGCAAAAAACAAAGATGCAAACATAATCATTAAAAAAAAAAAGATTAGAATACGAAAAGTAAAAATCAGAACATACAATATAAATGCTACTCTATGACTAACTGAAAATTCAAACTTAAGTGAATGATGCACTTTTACTTAAGTCTAAACCTTAAGTCTGTATTTCAGGATACTGCACTGAGGCGCCTGATCTAAAATAAACGCACATGAGAGCCTGACCCACGTGTTAAGGTGCAGCAGCCTTTTTTTTAATCAAGTGTATCCACCCATAGTGAAAAACAACTACTTCCAGGGCGCAATTTATCCCATCCTAAAGTAGGTAGTTAAATAGTACACTGACCTGAGCCTCAAAAGGTCACAGCTCCTCTCAGCACATTATAAAGGGAGTCCTGAAAACAAGTTCGCATACAAGCAATCCAATGTAGTCATCTAAAGTTAGATGTGATTAATCCTGTCTCAGAAGTCTTTCCATTGCCTTTGGATCAAGCTCTCTGATTATCTTCCTACACCGTAAGTCAGCGCAGCTTGCCAGAAGGTTTACTGTACCCTGAGTAAAACTAGAACACGTTATCAGGAAGCAGCATTATAAAGACAGCAGGCTGATTTTGCATGAGATGAAATGGCAGTATTCTGTTGTTAAATGGAGGTCATATTATATTAGCAGAGCAGGTTACGGATAGTTTCTCCAAAAAAGAAAAAAAGTTTTTTTTTTTTTTAATACAAGGAAATTGTAAAGCTGTTTACGTTCCTCACTTTTCTTTTTTATATAATTCATATTGTAGCTTCACCACACTAAACAATGACAGTATATTAACATCGCTGGCTTGCCTGATATTTCTGCATTTTTTATGTCAAGTTAATTTTGATATCTACCTTTTGACTTCTTTACTAAGGAAAATTGTGAAACATTGCGTGGGGCGTTTCACTCTTCAGAACAGGCAGTTCGGGCAGCTCAGGCTTTTACGCCTCTCCTTTTGCGCAAATGTGTTTTGATGATTATCAGCCGAATCTGGCCTCCCACCACCTGAGTTAGAGCGCAAGAAATCAGGAGGCTGCGCCTTTGCTCGGACCAGCCATCGGAAAGGAGGCGTTGTGGTACGCGCCTGACAAGAACACCACCAAACACCAGATCCGTCCTAACAGCAAAGCCACAACTAACTCAAAGCCACTGAAAACCCCTGGCCATAATCACAGCATGCTGCAGGGAACAGCGTCAAGCAGGCGTTTCCTTCCAGTTTAGCTCTAGGCTGACCCCTCTGTGCCCTTTTTCTGACTGATGTGCGGGGCACCCACCG